CCTTTCATACAAAGACGTTCCGGTCAGCTTCTCGGACAAAACGCACTTACATTTCGAAAACAGCCTCGGCGAAATCACAAACCAGCTGTCGGACCTGGTGCTTCAGGAAAGCCCCTCGTTCACGGAGGATCAATCAGAGTTCACTTTTGACTGCAGCCCCTCCCACACCGAGGAGTCGGAGCTGGTGTGYGACCACGATCCCCCCACCCAAACCYCGGAGCCAAACGAAAGCGACCAGCATCAGGAGAGCCCGTCGCTACACAAGGACCAATCAGAACCTGTGGGAGAGGGTGACCCTGAGGATCAGTCAGAGTGATCAGATTCCTGATTTTTGCCTCAAAGATTTTGTCTCTTTAAATTCTGTGTTTCCAACATGCGAGCGTGTTTGAGTGAATGTGAAAAGGATAAAGCTGGTTTGTATCTTTAATCCAGTCAACAGATCTCTTGAAAAGACCAAAACTAGCGTCATCTTCTGAGTTGTCTGTGAATTTTTAGATTTTGAATTCATGACCTAAAAGTTCTACGTAACTTTATCCATATGTATTGGAATATGGGGCACCAAGTGAAAATTAAAATGTAAAGGAAATGTCACTAACACATTTTCATTTTTTAGCTCACTTTCCAAGTGTAAAAAAATGTTCACTAACGTTTTATTATTTAGCTCACTGTTCTTACATTTTGCTAATTGTTATTAAATGTTAAATATATGGTAAATCCAAAACATAAATGTGTAAATCAAAATGTCGAGGTTAAATCTTGCATAAAGCTTGCATATAAGAATGAGAGGGTGTAACAGCCTTTGTTGGTGATGTGTGGCTTAAACGACGTCATCATCCATACAAAAGCTAACTCTAATGCTGCTAACATTGCTAATGTTGCTAACGCTGCTAACGCTGCTGAAGGTGGCATTTAAAATCCAAATTCAAAATGTGTTTATTGAAAACATGGATGTTGCCTGTGGTCCAGCAGTTCAAAGTGCAGCTCGGACACAACTGCAAGTTTGATGTCTTGTAGGGAAGCATTAGCCACGTTAGCAGAATTAGTGTTTGATTTTGTCGCAGGATGATGACATCATAACAAAAGCTGCACACCAAAGTTTCATTTTTATATTTAGATTTACGCCTTTTGATTTAGGATTTAACATTTAGACATATTAACATTTAAATTTAACATCCATCCATCCATCCATCCATTTTCTTCCGCCTATCCGGGGTCGGGTCGCGGGGGCAGCAGCTTCAGAAGGGAGGCCCAGACCTCCCTCTCCCCAGCCACTTCTTCCAGCTCCTCCGGGGGAACTCCAATAAATTTAACATTTAGTAAAAATTTGTAAAATGTAATAACAGTTAGCTAAATAACAATAAAATGTTAGTGGATTTTTTTAAACCAGGATTTAAACAAAAAGTAAACTAAATAATGAAAATGCATTTGTGACATTTTTTTCCATCTTATTTTACATGTGGTGCCCCATATTGGAAAGTCTAATTACATCTAACTTTTGAAGGTTTATTCCTTACAAATGCAGTTTAGTTGGTAAATGAAATATAAAATCAGATGTTTCTGATCATTAAAGTGAAAGACTGCTTGAGGAGCTAATCATGTAAATAAATACATGAGTTTTCCAGGTCATAATGCTTTGTAGAAAATGCTTCATTTTGTGTTTCAGAAGGAAGAAGACTGCACTGAGTAGAACAGGTGACACGTGTTCAGACACATTATGTCTGTCAAAGCAGCTGGATTTTCAACATATTTAAATTCCTGGTTGCAAATCCAAACTGGCACAAAACACAAATGTCCCAACCAACCAGAACTCTGTATTGTTTTCTGCTGATGAGTTTTCAGGTGTTACGACAATCAGTGAYGGCTGCTTCCACTGACTTCTGATTGGCTGACTCATTGATAAGAGGTTAGTGTAGCATTTGAGTATTTATAAAAAGTGATTTTGCGTTTTAAATTTTTTTAGGAGAATTTTTTTTTGTAAAAACGAATCACCAGGTGCATCATTTTATCACTAGGTGCAGTTATTTCTATAGTTTTTTTTTTAACTAATCAATACTAAGCAAAACTGTTGATTCATTTAAGAGCTTCATGAAGGCAAATCAACACAAAGATGCAATGTATTCACAAAATGTTTCTGTTTTCATTGTGGAAAATTTGTCTAGTCTCAGCAGTAAGGTCTGACATTTTCAAATTTCCTGAGCAGGTAGAGAGGCTTTAGATCATTCAGGCGCCGCCACCGAATACTGAATAATGATCTGCAGGAGAAGCTACCAGTCAAAGCTTACTGCAGGAACCAAGCGTTTAATCGATACCAGCAACTTTATAAGTGAATGTGCAAATGAGCAGAGGGCTGGCATGAGCTGAAAACAAACTACAGCAGGTTTGTTCTGTTAATTCTGCTCTGCAATGGTGTCAAGACTATTTAATTAAAGGTGCCATTTGTTGCTTTAAACCTGTTAAAAATCAGGTCATTTATTTTCAATTATGTTCTGAGGCATAAAMTTATAAATGCAGCTGACTTTTTGAGCTATGTCACTGAAACAAAACTGAAAAATAAATTTGTTGGCAGCTTCAGATCCCAAAAAAAAAAAAAAAAAAATCTCTTGGTTACTGTATTGGTCTCTATGGCAGAAACACATCCATGCATAGTCTCAGAGTTCTGCAGAAATACAAATTTGTCTGTTCCTTTAAATGGGATTTGTTGGCAATAAGATAGAACATCACCAGCTTTACCTTTTGTTCATTTTACTGTGTGTCTGTGGAGATGTCTGTATGTGTACAAGATAAACTTATTTTTCCCATAATTAATCTGGATTCACACTGGTTTATTTTGTTGGCCATAAAAAAATCTCTGAGTTTGGTCCCAAAAAAATTATAAAAAAAAGGAAGAAGAAAAAATATTAAGTGATAAAACAACAACAAAAAAGAGCAAATAATATAAAAAGCACAGAATTTTAAATAAATTATTCAAATGAGCACAAGATTGTATTATTCCAAACAACTACCTATTTACTAGCTTGGCACAAGTTTATTTCAAAGCAGTAGTTCAGATCTTTTCATTTGGGSTTCTGTGGAAAGTTTATGAGCAATCWGTATTTTACCTGTGTTGGATAGGTCTCTGATTGGTTTCAGTTGGGGAAAACTGGTCTTAATCAATGAAAACATTTTTATAATCCCTTACATCACTGTCAGCCATTGTTACATTGTGTTTCTGGCCTGAATGTAGAAGTGACCTGGGCTAAACTGGAAGTGCTACAGCTATCTGCTGCTGATATTTGCAGTTGCAAATATCTGAAGAACTCTATGTAAATAGCTGTGCAATGCTAAACTTTTGTTAATTTAAATAAATAGAATTTGCATAAATTGCTGAGAATATTTTGATATTATATTTTTCTTTTAAACTAGCTTTGAAGAAGGAATCAAGATGCCTCACACATCTTGAAGTAGTTTTTATATAAATTTCATATCAACTTTAAATTTTAATTTTATGATTCATTATAGCAAAATAAACCAATTCAAAGGATAAAATATAATAATACTTGTTCTATTGCAAAAATCAGTGTTTCTCTTTCCATTATCAGGTGATTATGTGCAGAATGCTGGTGCAAGAAATTCATGCAGTGGTTTGTACTGATAAATAATTTTAAAAAATGATCAGGTTTTCAATAATATTTAAATTCAGGGGGAGGGCAAGAATAAAAATAAAGTTCCTTTGAGGGCATGGCAAAATAATTGAGAACCACTGAACTGGACCATTGGACCCTTTCCCTTTAAATTTGCTCATAGTTAAACTCCACTTCTCCAAAATGAGGCTATTCAAAGAGCCATTTACAACAGGTAAGATACTGATTGTTCGTAACCGTTCCACAGTCAAAAGATCTGCGCTATTTATGATAAATTSCTTGTAATAAGTGGTGTTTCCTTGTATTTTCTGGTATGCAATAAAGATACGCTATTAATGCAGTGAAGGCAGATCACCGACAGCATTATTAAAGTTATAAAACATTTATTACAACTTACTGCCATCAGTATTTACTTGTATTTTTATACTAAGCAATGATGTCTATATGAACCCTCTAAATGTTATATGGGATGTACTGACAGTGAAACGGCAGCTTCCAAAGGTCCCCAAAGCTGGACTCTGGCTCACAGCAAAGCACGTTGTAATCACCACGTTATACTGACTGAACAGGTGGGCTCGTTTGGCTTTACGGGAGTAGATCTGATAAAGGTAGTATCAGTACCACGGTACATTGTCTGAAGCTGTATGTGAGTTTAAGGTGCATGGTAAGGGAGCAACACCTGAGCTCCAGGYTGCAGGAATGTAAGGTCTGTTGTATAAACTCACACAGGCATGGACACATGCTGTGCTGTAGATATTTACCTTTTTTTTTWAATCCAGCTTGGCTTTTCAACCAGCATTTAGGAATGAAACTACCTTATGAAGCCCCTCTGCACCCCACCCAAAAAAGACAAAAACTACACGTATACAAGTAATTGTTCTGACTCTACAATGGATGTATTTTAGCTTTATTCAATGTGTCTTACTCTTTTGTATTACCTCTGCAGCTCACCACACCTGGCTCTCCTCCCAGGTAAACATTTGTGCAACTAATGTCTTAAGTTTTTGTTTGCATAAAGAATGTGCAGTACTGCTTGCCATACACAAGTTACATGTAAGGAATTATTTGCAGAAAGCATATAAGCTAATTTTCAGCGTATCTAGTGAAGCAATAAGTCTGTAGTATTTCTCTTTCTATGGCACGGGCCTGTAAATGCTTTGTACATATGAAAATACACAGATGATGAGGATCCCATACATGCTACTTTGTACATAGGAGAGTTATGCATTTGAACGCAGCCATTGTTATTTTTCTGAGGACATGAAGTTGTTTTTGTACATGAATGAATTATTAAATTTAAAGAAAACCCTCATGTAAAACACAAACATGAATTTTTTTTCTCCCTAAGTTTGTTTGTTTTAGGGAATAAAATGCCAAAGATTCTTGTTTCAAAAAATTATATTTATATATGCAGAACAATCAGGCTTTCCATTTCAAACCCACATGACACACAGCATGACCCAACCGAATAAAAATCAAACAGCACTGGAAAATATCCATAGAAAAAAAACAACCTCACAACTCTTCACAAAAATGTACAAAACTCGGTTTGAAACGACAGCTTTACATTCTCGGTGAACTCTCCGACATGGATGCTGTTTACAGCTGAGACAAACAGTGGGCCGAGGTCGGTGAAAGGCCTGGAGGATGAAGGGCAAAAGGAGAGAGGATGAGAAGGGGGAAGGAAGGAGGAAGAGTTGGAGGAGAGAGGTGTACAGCGTGAGCAGAACAGTCACATCAGAATCTACACAGACTCAAGAAGACATAAAGATGGAAAAAGACATCACATCAAGTACTACTCCTCCTCCTCCTCCTTTTTCTCTTCGTCCACCTCCTCTCTCTCCTCCTCTTCCTCAAACGACGCCACGCCAGAAGACCTGCGGTCAGAGAAGAAGGCCCTGGGGCTCCAGTGCCAAACCCGAAGCTCGTGGAACACGCTGCCYTCCTCCTCCTCTTCGTCCTCTTCCTCGTCCTCCTCTCCCGGAGACTCGGAGTGGGAGGTGGAGTAGCAGGAGTCGAACCTGCTGCTCCTGCTCCGGGACCTCCACTCCGGCTTGTTGTGGACACAGACCTCGCTGTGTCGCTCCTGCGAAGGAGCCAACTGCTCATCAAGACCACTCAGCCTCTCCTCCTCCTCCTCMTCCTCATCTTCTTCCAAGAATGGACGCGTGCAGTCGCTCCGTGACGAAGGTGAGTCGCTCTGAGCTGGAGGCTGATCACAGAGCAGACTGCTGCCGGAGCCTACAGGACAAACCGAGGGGGGGACCTCAACGCCTCGAGCCTCAGGCTGGCGTGGCGCTCCATCGGTGGGCCCGGACACAGCGGTGTCTGAGGGAGGAGGACACAGTCAGAACACCTGGAGACGGATGGACAGAGGGATGGAGTGTCGGGAGAGAGGACGGGGAGATGATGATGATGATGATGTCAGAGATGCAGGAAAACGATGAGCGCCATGAGATGATGCGAGATGGAGATGCGTACCTGAGCTCTGGGTGGACCGGATGTGCGTCCGTCCGTTGGTGTGGGTGTCCTCATCGTTGGAGTCTTCCTCTTCCTCCTCATCGTCATCAAGAGACGCCCAGGCTCGAAGCTTGGCCTCAGCAATGGCAAACTGCTCCGCCACTCCTTCAGAAACACACGTTCAGTGCATGAATTCAGTGGCTGATTTTATCATGGTCTGTGTTTATTTTCCTTAGTTTTCTAGTGTTTTCAGTGTTCCCCTGTGTTTCTCTGCCCTGCAGCCCCGCCCCCTCTCACCTGTGTCCTCTTGTGTCTGCTCCAGGTGTGTCTTGTTGCCCTAATTAGTTTGTTTTTATATTCTGTGTCCTGTCTTCAGTGTTTGTCTGATCATTGTGCTGCTTCCCTCAGCCAGTGAGGTTTCCTGCGTGTTCCTTATTGTTCCAGTGAGTTCTGCTGCAGTGTCAGCTGTTTATTTTGGTTTTCTAAACAAACTCTTTATTTTGCACTTTGGATCCTGCCTGCGCTCTGGGTCATTCTGCAAAACCTCACAGATTTAAAGACAAGAAAATCTATATTTTTTTAAATAATGATGTTTATATATAAACTTTGTGTTTGTGCTGCTAGTTCTCTTAAAATAGATACATATTTAAATGTGTTACAGTGTATTATTAGCATTCACTTTGAATTCACTAAAATACAAATCTGAATATACAGTATGTGGAGCTACATTGGGGTCATAAATTTGTTCAAAATAAAGTTTTTGAAACTGAAAATAATTTTTGAAACAGGAAAATAATTTTTGAGTCCTGAAAATTGGAAGTGAAAATAATAAGTTTGAAATGGAAAAAAATAATTTATTAATAATTTTATTTGAACAATACTTATGACCCCAATTTAGCTCCATAAATACAGACAAAACTTTTTTTTCCCCCAAACCCATGTCTCTCGCTGGCTCATGTGAACCCTCACAGATGATGCATACAAAGAGCATGAAAACATTTATAAATTAAATATAATTTACTGGGGACTTTACGTTTTAAAACTATGGGTGCATTTTTTTAAACTAACTGATACTTGCTTTAGCTGATGACTCCTTCCTTTGGCCTTACAAAAAAATAACAGGAGTTAAATGCACAGCTAGAGGTGTGAGCCTTGTCCACAGTTCATGCTTACATTCTAAAAATGGCTGAATGAGAGCACGGTAGCTAAACAAATCAATGGTTCTTTTTATAATACAACTTGATTTCTTTAGGATTAGTGGGACGATATCTTATCAGTCTCCAGCTGCTGGCAGCTAGATGAGAGTTTGGGRTGTGGCAGTCATCAACAACTCACAGTGTGTTCTAGAGTTATTTAAAAAGTATTTCTTGCAGTGAGGGACTCGGAGAGATGTGAAATGTTTTTAATTTAGTAGAAAAGATGTTTTCACTTTTCTCCCAAATCACTCCAACAAGACTCGAATTGTTTTAAATCGAGCTAATCTGAAAAGATAAAGGAAATCGATCTAAGATGGTTTAGATATTTAAATGCCACTGACTTTTTTAATATGGTTGTAAAAAAAATACCCAATTTGCCAAGTCGATGTAAATCTAGTACAAATAACTTCATATTAAAGGACTTGCATTTCTTGAAGAAATACACATAACCCAACACTTATTTCTGCCAGAGATAAAAAAAAAAAAAACATGATGAGAAATTACAATAGTACGATGCCTGTCCAGTGACATTGGATAAAAAAATTAATTAACACATGGCCATGAGATAATTCATGCAGTCATTTGATTGTTTACAATGGCAAGTTTAAATTATTTMATTTGTTTTTAATATAGGAATGAATGACATCATTCACTTGCTGTTGGGCATGCAATATTTCCTATATGTTGCAGCTGTAAAACACTGGTGGAGACTTTAGTTGTATTTGTCCAAAAAGCTGTTTTTTGGGGATTGTTTTTAAGCTTAACACTCTCTACCTTTGCTCCTTGGCTGCAGGAGTCAGAGTTATGTCACATTCAGGAACAAGGTTAAAAAAACTGTTTCTAGACCAGGGGTGCCCAAACTTATTCCCTCAGAGGGCCAAAATGAAAATCTACCCAAAGGCTGCGGGCCAAATGCAATTATATAATAGAGGAAATGCTGATACTTCTTAAGTAAAGTGCTTTTACTTTTTATGATTAAACCAAGAGCCAGTGCAGTGGCCCATGTTTTGTTTGTTTGTGTTTTTAATCTGTACACTTGCTCAGGCAGCAAAGGCTCATGGGACATTTCATATGTTGATAAAATATGAGTATTATGAGTCTTATAAAGTTTTCAAATCTACATGTGTGCTTAAATCTAATGTAAATATCTTCTTTGGTTTCTTGTATTTTATTCATAATCTTAATATAATTCAGTGACAAAGTCAGCTATCTGTGCTACAGTCCCTTATTTAGTCATTGGGCCATTATGGAAATACAGAGTTTCTACAGAGGATGACAGATAATTAAAAACTACTGGTGGGCCAAATCAAATGGCTTGGCGGGCCAATTTTGGCCCGYGGGCCCCACTTTGGGCACCTCTGTTCTAGACACACACTTGGTGTGTTCAGTGTCATCTATTAACTACTATGAAAAATGAACCGATTGAACCATGGAGGTAAACTCTTTGGGTTACACCAAAAATTAAAATAATATTAAACATGGGGTACGTTTGAACAGTTSGACAAAAATCAGTGTATTCATTTATAATCTGACTCTAACAATGCCCGTATCTATTACAAAGAGACAAGGTTCAAAATTCAATTTTTCTTTTTTTTAATCAAATGTCACCAGACGGGCTCCACTCAATAAGGCTGACAGTTTGGTCAAACCTTGTCAGTAACGTTATGTGGGTCTCAGCTACCAGTATATCACATTTATCTGTAAAACTGGCTGTGTTTTAACCATTTTTTATTTGTTTGCTGAAATCTCTTTGGCAAGACACAAATAATACTAAATTCATTTTACAGGGCAAATACAAGTAAAGTCTAATGTAAGATTTCAATATGATTGTTTAATATAAAAGGTTGGAGTAAAAAGGAAACTCTGTAGATTGACTTATTTACAGAACAGTTTTGTTAGCGCAACCTCATCTGAGCCAGGTTTTAYAAAAGATAAACCAAGGCCACAGCTTCAAATTATTTATATAAAACCAAATTAACTTGGCTGCTCTGAAAGTGGCTTAGCTGAAGAATGATTTRTCTGTAAACGTAACACGACGGTCTCAGGATTTCAGGCTTCAGTTTTAAATGTTCCCATGAGACAACTTTTGGCATTTGATTAGTCTATCAGGACAAAAGGGCTCGGTAATGAACACGATGTCCGCTCTCTCTGCCTGCACTCCACTTTCCTCCTCCTCACATTATCTCCTCATCAAACCACAACTATGTCACTGGCGCCAGAGAGGATGAGTCACAGCAAAACACCCAGAGCTGCCGCACTGTCGGTGGGCAGAGAAGTCATCTGAAAGTGTCTCTAATGGGCCACCATCTGCCGCCAAGACAAACGGTCCRCCGACGTGATGCTGCGGTGGGTGGAGCTCGGTGCTCTGATAGAGGACTTTGAGGGGATTAGGTGCCTGACAGAAGGTGGGAGCGGTCACGAGATGATGCTAAACCATGCTAAGAGGATGCACATGTCCACACAAGAGCATGTGACTTTTTTTTTACTTGCATTTGTTTGAAGCTGTAACAGCTGGATCTCATTTCAAACATCCTGTCACACAAGAAGATTAAAAGAGTACCTGCAGCAAAGCGAGCCTCCTTCTCCCCTTCAGTCAGGTGGCTGTAGGAGTTGAACTGGGAGTTAGCGCCCGCCGGAGGACCCGTGGGTTTGGGCCACCCTTTCCACTCAATGAGGTGGGCCACCCGACCCTGAGCCAGAGAGGTGGGCTTTGTCACGTGGTCCCTCACCGCCTGGGAGATGCCTGCAACACAGTCGGGGAGAGATCAACGCGTGACGTTCAGAACCAGGGGTTTAAAACGGGGGAGGTTGAAACGTTTCTTTCACCATTTAAGGACGATCTGGCGAGCGCTGCAAATTCATGAATGCCGACGCTTTTCCGTGAGTCTGCTGGTGATTTCCCCGACTTTGGAATCATTTCAATTTCTTCAAATTTCACCTGAAAAACACGTCACATTTTGGTGAAATGTTCTGTTTTTTAACATCCAATACACTTAGTGTTGTTGATTTGAATTGATTTGATTTATTTAACAGGAAAAAATTACTAAAAATCAAGCCTGACTCAGCATAATTGCTGTTTTACAGCAGGTTCCTGTTCTGCAGCACATAAAACACATCATCACACAGCATCACAATCACATCATTATACACCATAGACACAAAGACAAACAAGCATACCAAATTTCAGGAAGGCAGCATTTGCAAAATAGGACGTCTAAATATGAGCACAACAAAAAGACTTTATTATTTTACTGTTTATGTACAAGGCTCACAGAAATGTATTACCTTCCAACATTCAGGCAAATTATGTTAAGAGACAGTTGTTATTATTTTAAATGGAGATGGAAATGTTTGTGAAGCCATATTTTCGTACTTGCTTGAAAGAAAGATGTACTTTAATCCAGGGTATAGGATTGTGGAATGGTCGGGAAGATCTTAAAAACGCCAGATCTATGTGTATATTTAAGAAAAAGATAAAAGCTAGTTTTTTGAAGGTGTATGAAAAGTAAAATGTGAAGCTATATGAATTGTTTGAGTTGATATTTTTATGTTGTTTTTTTTTATTTAGTATTGTTTTGTAAATTGTTTCATTAGAATATATTTTGGGGATAAAAGGGGCAGACACTATAAGATTTATTCTTCTTC